AGGAACATGAGTATGGACGAAGCACAGAAATCCAGAATGCAATATCACACTGAAGTCCAAGTATTCAAAGCCAAAGCAGATAGTACAATGGAACCGAGTAACCATCCAATTGAGAATCATACAGAAGAATCGTTAGTCAATGTCCATGCCCAACAGGGCAACACCAACAGCATAACCCAAATGTAGCTCTCTCTTGTGAATGGCGCCAGGCGCCCTTTCTACTCTAAAGCCTATCCTACAACTACAGCAATGAAAAGCAACCAGACAACTTGACTACCAGCGAGTGATGATGTCAACACCAATGCCGATCTCCACCATCATCAGGTACGTGTCCTCTTCCCCACACTCTCCCTTGTTACCCACACAGCGCCCTTCACCTCCGAAGACCACCTTCGCCCTTTTACCCCTCTGCGCCCTCTGCAGCCCGGCTATGGCCGCCAAGCGCCCCGTATGCAGGCAGCGCCCTACCACCTAGCGCTGGCCTGCTTGCTCTTAGCGCAGCACTGCCTTGCACAGCGCAGCACACATGCATCCGCGCAGCGTGCCCGCAAGTGCCAGCATTGGCCAAGATCCCTGCTGCCTCGCCCTGCTTGCCTATATGCCATTGCAGCGTGTGGGCGGCCTCCCTTCAGMCTGTGACCGGGGCCCAGAGGCTGAAGCCAACCCGAYACARTTGGGCCCCRTGGCAATGCAGTTSCGCCTCCTTCATCAAGGCCTGCGGCCWGATTCAGACAGTGGGCCGATTTCCCTTTGGCATTTTCGGCCTCTCTACCCAGCGTSCATTGTYRGCCTCACGTTCAAGTGCCCAGRGCCTAACTAACTCAGAGGCCCTGGGCATTTCAGCATTTGCTGAAATCCGAGACTCGGTGCACTCCAACCAACTGGCGTGCTGCAACTGTATAGACCCCACTTCCTGAAATGTTCGCATAGAGGGCTCTTGTTGATTTGCTGGCCCGCCTTCACTTAGGGCGGGCACTAGGCTTGCTGGGGCCTTAGCCCAGAACATGTACATCATGGCAAGGCCCCTACTTGAGGGCTCAATCCTCACAATTCGCAGTAAAATCTGAAAATTTGAGAATCCGCAGATTAGGTCGTGATCTTTCCAGGAAAATATCAGAAACATTTTTAAAAATCACTAAGACTGCGAAATAATCGCCGTGCAGATTCCGCACATTTTCCATTTTTGGCACTCAGCCATGTGTGGGCCAAGGAAAAAGTACTCCAACTTCTGTGATTTTTTGTGATCTGAAGAATGCGTGGAAAATGCTGAAAATTGGACTGCTCGACGCTCGTAGATTTTGTTGTGTATCTTTCCAGCAAAAATATTAAATAAAGTTTTTAAATTTATTTTAACTGGGAAATAGATCGCAGCCACAATCTGACCAATATTTCAATTTTGTGATTCAGCCTCTCTCTCTCTCTCTCTCTCTCTCTCTCTCTCTCTCTCTCTCTCTCTCTCTCTCTCTCTCTCTCTCTCGTGCGCACGCTCAGTCTCATTGCTTTGGCTACCTTAGGGCTGCGTTCCCCGCGCCCACGCGGTAGACAATAAAAAACATAGGGTTGTAAATCTTTCAAAGATGTACAACAATTTTTATTTTTTTTAACTTTCATGTATTTAAAAAGAAATCAAAAACATGAAAACAATTAAAAAAAGGAAAAAAAGACACACACACACACACACACACACACACACACACACACACACACACACACACAACACAACACACAAACACACAAAGTTCATAAACACAAACGCACATCCACACACACACACACCCCAACAATCACGCGCACACACACACACACACTTACAAACACACACATACTTCTGGGTAGGTTTGGGGACAGCAGGACGGGCAGGCGGCAGGATGGACCAGGCGACAGGATGGGGCAGGCAGCAGGATGGGGCGGGCGGCAGGATGGGACGGGCGGGAGAAGGCGGATTTGGGGCTCGTAGTGGTTTAAAGGGCTTCCAGGTAGGTTTGGGGACTCGTAGGGGGGGGTCAAATTTTTTATTTTTTTTCTGGTTTGTGTTTGGGAGCGCAGGCCACTTGTCCGAGGCCCAATGCCCCCAATCCGTTTTATCGGATTTAACGGGGGACCCCCGTTTTCCTGTTAAACAGGATTCAACCGGGGCTTTGGGGGCTATTCAACAGGTACAACGACGTTTAATTCCATTCGTTGTCCGTTGTTAGGACACACAGGCCCAGAACACTTGCATGTCGGATAAGGGCCCCACGAGGCTCATTCCTCACACCCGTGTGTTTTGAGAAAAAAGAAAAGAAAAGAAAAAAAAAAAACAGAATGGGAGAAGAGAAGAACCAGAAACGGAAAAAACGAAACCGGACAGAAACATGTGCCAGAGACCAACATTGTAGCCCGATAACAGCACGAGGAAGAGTTCTCTCACCAGAAGACCCTTCTCCTTTATTTTCTGACCCCGTTCACCAGACAGCAGATATGCAGTGTTTTGTATATCTACCACAAAAGTACCTGCACATATCCACCATACAAGAAACAAACTACACATTACCACATCAGCAGCGCTGACTGCAGAGAAAAGATATGGATGCCATTGAGGATAATAGAGCATTAATAAGAGTGTGCTCCCACGACGACTCTGACTCTAACTCTGTCTCAGATTCTGACTCAAAATCTTCACTTATGTCTAATGCTCAATCTGTCTCTACCCCGACTCCCTTCTGGGAATTAAATAAAAGGTTGAAGCCCTAGCATTAAGGAGCAATGTGAAATTTATTGAGCAGTTCGAACTCTTAAGCTGTGTTGAAGGGATTGAGCGAGTCGCAAGCGATTGAGTGAGTGAGTGAGTGAGGGAGGGAGCGAGGGTCGAGGGAGCGAGGGTCGAGTGAGCGAGTGAGGAAGCGAGGGAGCGAGGGAGCAAGGGAGCAGGAGAGCGAGTGAGTGAGGGAGGGAGTGAGAGAGTGCGTGTATGAGCGAGTAAGGGAGTAATTGGGCACACAGAGAGAGAGAGAGAGAGAGAGAGAGAGAGAGAGAGAGAGAGAGAGAGAGAGAGAGAGAGAGAGAGAG